GGGGAGGATAAAGAAGGGGCAGAGGAAGGTGTCTGAGACAAGGAGAGACTGAACAGGCTGTGCCTCTGCTGTCTGGTGAGAAGCTGGGAGAGAGGGAATGTGACCAGGAGTTACAGGACAGCAAAGGGATTAGGTAGGGTGAGTGTGGAGCTGACCCTCAAATCCTCCAAAGTAAGAACCAGCAACGACTGGATGAGTTAGGAGAAAAAGAGAGCCGAGGAGGCGCTGTGCAGAGCTGGTGGTGAGGTTTCTGCTGCCGGCAGAGCTGTGGAGTCAAAAAGGGGTTGGATAAAGTCACAAACAGTCTGTAAGGGGCTGCTGAAGGGTCAGCTTGGGGATGTGTTGATAGCCTCCCTGCCCCGTGCTGTGGATGGGCCAAGGCACCGTAGGCAGTGGCCAGAAGAGTGTGTTGTCCCCAAAAAGTATCTCATGTGGCCGCTGTTGGAGTGGTGGCTGGGCCAGACGCAGGGCTGGGCTGACTGGCAGGGTCTTCCTCCCCCTGGCTCTGGCATCCCCCAGCCCAGCCTCTTGCTGCAGCGTGCTACAGCCCCAGGGCACCAGCACTAACTGCTCCTCTTGCCTCCTAGGAGAAATACAACGGCACAGCCACCTTCTACCTCACCAAACCCTCCGGAGGGGCAAAGGTGCTTCCCTTGTAGAGGAGCAACCACCTCACCTGGGCTGGGATCGCCTCCTTCTGAGAGACGGCTGCTTTCCTCGCTTCGCAAGGGAATGGATTTGTCTGTCTGCATCATTTGCCTAATAAACGCAAAACATTTGCACCGTCGTTCTGCACCCACCTGAGCTGAGCTCTGACACCAAAGTTACTCAGAGCCTTTCCTCAGAGTAGACTGGTTTAACTTCAGTTTGCACTGGTGGAAGGAAACGTTACCGGGGATGTGGGGTCCAGTTGTGCCTCTGGAGCTGCAGTTGCAGGAGGGAAGGGTGGTGGGGGAGCAGCAGGCACTGACACGTGGCAGAAGCTCCTGCTTGGGTGTCTGCTTCTGGCACGTGTCCTTCTGCTGCAGCTGGAGGGTATTTGGAGGGGGGTGTGTGTGATTTTTTAATTTTATGGTTTTTTAAAGAAAAGGGAAGAGGCAGACTGTAGAGAAAACATTTATTGAGTGCAATAGGGAGCCATCTGATCAAAGACCCGCTGTCAGAGCAGGCTGCTGGATCCGCCTTGGAAAGGCAGAACCGCCACCAGCCATAGCGACCAGATGAAAATTAAAAAGTGACACTGTTCTAGTGTGAGGCATTGGTTAGGTGTGCAGCTGCCTTGCACGGGGGGATGGTGTGATGCCCTAGAGAGCAGCAGCTGATGGGCTATGCTCTTCTCTTGGCTAACAGGATAGTCTTTGGTTAAAATGCTTGGAAGAGGGTCTCCCTTTTTAGGCAGTTTTTGGTGTTTCTGGATCACAAAGCAGAGGGCACAGATGACAGAGTCCTTGTGCAGCAGGAGACAGATCAGCTGGAGAGAAAACTCCAACCACAAAGGTGAGATGGGTCCTGGGAGGCAGGCAGGTTAGTGCCACAGGTGCTTGCTCAGGGAAAATAAGTTCTTCTTGAAGGGACAGTAAAACCACAGAGTTGGTGAAATATCTCTTGACCTAAGTTCAAAACTGATCTAGCTCCAGCTGCAGTCCTGGAGACTCCTGTGGACTTTACTCACACACGTAGATCTTTGGCTCAAGGGTGTACAAGCCCTCCCACTCAAACGAACAACCCAGAGAGGAGAGGGAGCTCTCGCTGGTGTCAGTGCTGGAAAGTCTTCTTCTGAGTCAAAAAGAAAAAAACCAAAAAAGCCAAGGTCAGATCAAATCAGGCAGGCGATGCTGCTAGGGAGACCAGCTGCTGTTTTGGTTGGAAGCTCTAATCCAGAACAGTGGCAGCTGCTGCTTCGGGCAGGCTCCTCGCTGTCGGCAGGCTCCTCGCCTGCTCCCGTGCAGCTGAAGCGTGCCAGGGAAACGTGCTGTTTGGTGAAACACGGAGCCCAATTGTTCTCGTTGGCAGAGGGCAGCGAGACGCGAGGCATCGTGCCCAGAACCAGGAAAGGAGGCGCAACGAGGTCTCAGCTCAGCCTTGCACCCAGCACCGTGTGAGGGCAGCTAAAGCTGAGGGCTGAAGGGTGCTCGAAGACTTGCTCAGGATGATGAGAGAGCCTGCTCTTCCCAGAGGTGCTCTTCCCTTTTGCCTACTGAGGGAGCACAGGTCCCTTTATGGATGTTGCTGTTGGGCAAAAGGGCTTTTAAAAGATACCAAACATCTTCTGTCCCCAAAAAAATCTCATGCTCTCCACAGCAGTCATGTGAGAAATCCCAGGCACTGTTCCCAGCTCCAGGCACCACTGCCTGGGCCATCCCCATCCCTCGCCTGCAGGCAGCTCCCAGCCCTTCTGCGTGCGTGTGCTGCGGCTGGAGCGTGCTCGGCTGGTGGATGCTGTGCAGAGAGCAGGTCTGGCTGCTTGCAGCCTTTTCCTGGAGTCTTCAGTGCTGGAGGCTATAAGGCCCAAGGCAGAGCCCACTAGCTCAGCAACAGGCTTTCCACAGGGTTTAGTGGCCTTTGGATCAAGCCCTTAACTAATTTCTTTCAGTTATTCATTTTCTCAGCAGCCACAGGCCCAGTGTAGCCTCCACATTCAACATAGATCTCATCCATTTAATTTTTTATAAAATAATAAAATACATTTATATATATTTATATATATATACTACGAAAACTGTACAATATTGTATGCAAAAAAAAAAAAAGCAGCAGAGGTTGTCATGAGTAATGCTATACAAACGAAAGGCTACACTTTGCTAGCGTGGTACCAAACGTTAGCAGCGAAGGATAGACACAAATAGGTGCAGTAAGAAAGCATAGGTTACCCCAAACCCCTACCTTGCAGCTCTCGTATTAAAAAAAAACCCAAGCAGAACAAAATAACCATCTCCAGTGGACAGTTCCTGGAGAGCCTGAAGCAAAGATGGAAGGCTTTTATAGAGATAAATCAGGATGTTGCCATCTGGGATCCTCTCAAAACAGGACCTGAGAAGAAATCATTCTGTTCCATTTATCTGGGAAGGCTGGAGCCATCGAGACACCTGAATTTTGGCAGGTGTATTTGGATGGATGGGCATTGAAGGATGGTGTGAGTGGTGGTTGTTCACGGGAGACATCCCTGTGGTCTCTGCAGAGCAGGACAGGGTGAACAAGCCCTGAAGGACGAGCCCACACCTGATGACCCAACTGTGCCAGAGCTTTGAGTGCGCTGGGCTCCAAAGGAGAGGTCCAGAGCTTGAAGTGCCGTGGAGGGTCTCTGCCCACAGGAGGAGCTGCCCAGGTGCCTCAGCAGCATCTGGGTGAAGCACCCTTGGATCGTCCCACAAAGTCGTGCCTTCTGAACACAAATGTCCCACTGGCGGGCAGCCTGCCCTGGCTCAGGCCTCGTAGAACTGCCTCTCCATCTGTTTGGTGAGGGTCCCACTGGACATCACGGTCCGGCTCACAAACTCTTTGGTGACCTGTTTGGTAAGGGTGCTGCTGGCGCTCTCCACTCGCTGGGTCGTCATGAGCATGCCATCTGCAACAAGAAGCTCAGCAGTCAGGACACTGTGCTAAGTACGGGGTCACAAGGAATAGGATCTGCTCTACCTGATAATTCCTGTCAGAGATTTCTCCTTAAATACCACTTCCACTGATGGAAAACCTCTCTGGATCAAACGATTCAGTACTTTGTTATGTCAGTGGGGACAACATGGGACAACTACAACAACCGGTGTAATTAAAGATGGTCATCAGACTTCTCTGTTTTTTCCTGCTCTGAAGAGATCTAACCTTGCAGGAAAAGCTATGATTTGGTCCCTAGTGATAGTCCTGGGGGACTTAGAAAACTTAGCATTCCCTCTGTGAGCGGGCAGCACATGGGGAAGTGACTGCAGCTGCCTCTGGGGCAGAGCAGGGACACTGTGTGGGAAAGGGTCTGGTCCTCTTCATCAATCCCACCTGATGGACCCTCCACCCCTGCCTTTGACACTTGAGGTAAGATCACCCCCAGACCTCTGGACATGCAGAGTTATCCTTTGCTTTCTGAGGGTTTCAAAGCAGACAGCGAGACCCTACCTGTGAAATGGGGATCCAGAGAGGAATGGCTGATGCTGGTTTTTGTGGTGTATTCAGTGGGGAAGTTGTACACTTCTTCTCTCATGTACTGCTGTCCTCCAAACTGGGAGAAAGTGCCTGGGGAGAAGGAAAAGGGACAAGTCAGCTGGGAAATGACAAGGACCTTCCAACCCCTCAACCCTGCACAGTGAGCACCAATGATCAGCTCAGGAGGTTTCTCTTGCTGATGTCAGAGCCAGATTTAGGAGGAACTGGGAGGACTGGGAAGGTCTCACACCTGTGCAGTGTAAGAAGCAGCCTCCAGGTATGTGTACATATGGCATTAGACAATTTTCATAATACATTACACACTAGCAGGTTCTCACAATCCTCCCTCATGCAGTGCATTGGGATTGAGACAGTTCTCACAAGGCAAAGCATTGTCTTCATGGAAGACAATATCTCCATGTCTTTCATAGAAAATGGGGTCACCACCAGAGCTGGAAAGGAACTCCAGGAGTTGTATTCCCTGCTCTGAGAGATTTCTTGGGTTTGCACCTCCACAAAGACATGTTACTGTACCTCCATCCTGAGATTCAATGGTGATGATGCCTTCTCTCTCTGGCCCAAAGCCTTGGGTGGTCTTGGCTTGCACTTTGAACTTGTATGGGACATTCTCACTTAGGTGGGGTACAGTCAGGGTAGTTTCTGGGTTGTCTCCTTCAACGTAGATGTTCCTGGGCTCCCCTAATCCACACAGACATAGCAGCGGTGAAGACAGACAGGAGTCCCCCCAAACACACTCCCTCAACTCTGGCTGCTGTCTTGGCCTTCCCTAAGCTTTATGCCACCCACAGACTGTGTGATTGCAGCCTCAGTTCTACTGAGGGTTAAGGCAACCCTATTGCAGTACAGTGGTTATCCTCAATGACCAACCTCCACTGGGTTTGGGCTGTAATAAGCTACGGGTCCTTCCTCTTCCCACCACATTTGTCACACCAGACCATGCAATGACACAAAGCGTCAGGGTCCAGCATCTCCCAGGCCTGGAAGCAGCCTCATGTCCCCACTTCCACTGCACCGATGTAAGCAGAAAACTTTGTTGGTCCCAGCAAAAATGCATCAAGTTGCTGCTTTTGCTGGAGGTATCTTGTGCTCTGCACAGGGAACTAAACTTCCACAGCCTGATACTGTACCTCCTCCATGCAGCATCTCACAGGTGACCATGTAGCCCAAGATGGACCCATTGGGCTTGCGGGGTCTCTCCCAGCTGAGCTGCAGGGAGTCAGGGCTGAGGGCGGTGAAAACCAGCGGTCCAGGAGCACTGGGTGTGCTCAGCGTGAAGGGTGAACCTGCAGGGGCACAAGCGAGAGGTCTGTGTCACAGAAGGTGGCGAGGAGGAGGCTGGGAGGGATCTGCACACAGTATTTATGAAATGAGCTGGAAGGTCTGAGCTACTTAGACAGCTAGTGGAAGGTGAGTGCATGGGGAGAAGGTCCTATTTCTAAATGAAAGGAAGGAAAGGCGAGCTCAGGATGTGGTAAGGGGAAAGAAAACAGCAAGACCAGCACTGTAG